ATACTATGACAGATGTCATCAAACACCTAAAAGGATGTTCTGGCTGTAAAATTACGACTTTGTGAGTCACACTTAGTGGACTTGTCGCAAGTCATTTGCTACAGTTAATACTAATGTATCCAAGTTTTCAAAATATTAAACATTTTCATTAAATAAAAGGGGAGTCCATGCTGTCCCAGATGTAACCACTGTGGTTCACTTGCAATACTTTCACTTGCATGAGAAAGTCTAGAGTAGAAATACTAGTTTTGCATTTAGAATCACATGGAAATGTTTTGTATGTGTAGAGATCATCCATTGTTTGTGTATTTCTAACTAATTCAGAAAAATTCCTGTGCCCTGGAAAAATTTTAACCATTCAGTTTGAATTTCAAACTTCAGGTGCATATACTGAAGTTGCATCTTGTGCAGTGGTTAGGTTCTAAGGTCAGCACATAAGGTGAAAACTGTTAGTCACGGTTCCCCGTGAAAATGCCCTGGGAAGGCTCCACAATGAAGGCCAACAAGTCCTGAGTCCAACAGAATGTCAGCCCAGTGCAGCTAGATTTTCCTGTCTTCCGCACCAGATGAAGTCACTGGCATATTTTCAGGAGCCATAATTTTATTATTTTTAATGTTAGCTACAAACAGAATCACACTTGATGAGCAGTGAGTCCTTCACCCTGAGCGACATACAGGAACTATCTGGGGAAGCAGGTTTATCCTCTGTCACACTCCAAGAAATAGGTTCTTGGAGTGGAACCACCCGGACTAATCAATTCGTAGTGAGTGTGCCCACATATTCTCTCTCTCAGCTAAATACAGAGCCGAGGTGAACTTTGTGTAATGCCACTCCACTGTCTTGTTCCAATGCTTAAAGCATTTGTGCTTTAAATTGCACCCAGAACTCTACCTCTCTAAACAGGACTGTCTTTACCAACAGAAGAGCAAGGATAGGACCTTTACTGTTTAAATGAAATGTTTGAAGTAAGGCCCTGCTGTTTTCTTTGTCTGGTTTAGGTCAAGTCATTTCACTCTATCTTCCCCACCGCATTTCTATGTGAAAAAAGTTTGTTTTGGCTCTTTGGGTGCCACAAGTTCTATTTTGAAAAAGATGGAACAGAGAAGAACTCGTAGTAGTGTTCTACTGTAGCCTAACAAATTACTGCAAACTTGGCAATTTAAAACAGCATTTATTTGTTATCTCATAATTCTGTAGATCCGAAGTCCAGACAGGGCTCAGCGGGGCTCTCTGCTCAGGCTCTCACAAGACTGAGCGCACGGCCCTCCTCCAGGTTCTCACCTGAGGCCAGAGGTTCTCTCCCAGGTTGGTGGCAGCTCCTTCAGGCTGGTGGCAACATTTAGTTTCTTGCAGTTGTAGAATTCACGGCAGCTTGTTTTCTTCAAGTTCAAGGCCAGCAGAGGAATGTCTGCTATTGCATCTTGTTTCTTTAAGGGCTCACCTACTAAGATCAAGCCCACATTGGACAGTCTCCTGTATGCCTGACTCACACTTAACTCACTGGGGACCTTAATTCCATCTGCAGAATTTTCTTTTGCCTTGTACCATAAAATAATCGAGGCAGTCAGTACCCCATCACCCTCACCCGTCTCACCCACACTCAAGGGGAGGGCATTGGACAGGGCTTGTAAACCGGGGGCAGAAATCTTGGGAGCCGTCTTGGATTTCTGCCTGTCACGTAAATAATACCACTGAATGCCTACTGAATGCCCAACCGTTTGATTAATTCCCACCTTTGAGTGAAAATGGTGTTACCTAAGTCTGACCTGTAGGGAAGCTCAGGCTCAGGGAAAGGAGGTAGCTTGTGTAACAAGTGAAGCGTGTGATGAGGACAGGAACCTCCATGTGCTGGCCCCAGAGCCCCGGCTCCCCGTTGCGCCGCACCGGCTCTGATCAGGCCCGCGCTTCCCCCTCCTTTCCAATGCGCTTGCTTTACTCCAGCCTCGCTGTCTTGGCTGTCGGCCACACCACCCGTCCCTGGCACCACCGCAGCAGCCCCCCGAGTGGTCGCCCCACCTTCACTCTTGCCCTTCTCCAGTCTCCACGGTCCTGACGTGCAGCTTGGCCGTGTCGCTTCCTGCCTCAGACACTTGAATCCTGGAATCGCTGCTTTTGGTCCGAGTCCATACTCTAATGCGTAGGTCACAAGGCATCGACCTGGGATGGACGGCTCTGCCTGCAGCTCTGACACTGCCTCTCCTCTGCGTGATGAGTGTTCCCACGTGCCGTGCCCTCTGCCGAGGACACACCTGAGCGTTCTTCGTCTGGCTAACTCTGCCCCCCTCCGGGTCTGGATTGAGTGTCACTTCCTCCAGAGGCGACTCCCTGGTTAGGCCAGGTGCTCCTGTTACGTGTTCCTGTGGCACCCGGTACTTTCCCTGTGATATCATCATGTTTTATTTTCGTGACATGTTGATCTGCCTGTGTCTGATTCTTGGCTATATTCCCAGTGTCTGGCAGGAGGTGGGCACTCTAATGAATATGTATTAATAAATGAATGGCAGAGCGCTTTGGTAGGTTACTTGTTTGTGTTACCTTTGAAATCTTTCTTTTTCCTTCTTTGTCATTGAAATACCTTTAATATCACGTATCAGAACAGCCACTTCTCATATGTTCTATTCAGGATCAAATAATTGGTATAAGGTAAAGCTGGGAACAGACGGTGGGCCTTTAAACTCTCAACTTCACGTGTTTTCCATGGTTTTGTGCTGCTTAACTGCCTTAGAATGTGAGCTCATCTTCGTAGCTGCTCACTATACCCAGTACAGGTACTCAGTAAATGCTAGTTTATTTTCTATGTAATTGAGTGAAGTCCTTTATAAGAGTTAATAGAGGAACCCTTCAGTAAGTGGGTTTGGATCTAATAGATTGGCCAGGAGTTGTGGCTAATTTTGTAAAGTTTTAATTATATGTTACAGCTGTAGATAGCCTGTGGAATAGGGATCATTAAACCTTTTACAGGAGTATATCATGTTTGAGAAAGCATGTTAAAACTCCTTCCAAGTTTAATAACATGACCAAATGAGCTATGAACTCTCTCAAGCACATACTTTCTCTCAATATTTTGTAGTGAAATTGATTCTACAGTTGAGAAAAATGTGACTATGTAGAGACTTTCACAAGTTACTCTTTTACCACGTACCCCAGTAAATGTCAGGCCTATGAATAAGCTGTTTTAAAAGATTAGTTTACAATTTTTGAAGCTGAATTTGTAACAAACATGCCGCAATTTTTGTATCCAAAGAAGTGCTGTCTCATTCAGAGCACTCACTTTGGAAGTTATCAGGAATGTTTCCATTTCTCAGAATGGTTTCAGAATTTCTTTTGTTGTTGTTTTAATCTTTCAGTTATAGTTGGCATATAATATTATATTAGTTTTAGGTGTACAACATAGTGAAATTTATATAACTTACGAGCTGATCCCCCTGCTAAGTCTAGGACCCACCTGACACCATACATAGTTACTACAATATTATTGACTATACTCCGTATGCAGTATTTTACATCCATGACTGTTTTTATAACTAGTAATTTGTACTTCTTAATCCCTTCCCCTTTTTCACCCATCCTCCAACCCCCCCTCCCATTTGTCACCCATCAAAGATCAGAATTCCTTTTGGAATTAAAGTCAGAGCCATCACACAAGCTTTCTTATTGTCATCAGTCTTCAACAGCCTTGGAGGGTAGTTATTTTATGAAAACAGCATTAAGAACTAAGGTGAGCCAAGTGTGTACTCCGGTTTAAAACAATATGCAACTCTGAAGTCAAGAGACAGGTCTGTGTGGTTTATTAGTTTGGTTTTGGTTATAAAATCTGACACTTAAGGCAAGCAGAAGTTCCCAGTAACTTTTAAAGCGCCAAACATTCGTGTCATCATAACTGCAGGACCAGAAAGGAGTCTTGGGAGAAGATAGAGGACTGGTCAGCATATCTTGATGCTTACAGATGAGGTTTTGAAGGAAAGCGTCCTGAACACATCTCACTTTACTGGATAAAGATTATAAAGGGATAATATTTTCTTTTTAAATAGTAACTTCTTCTGTAAGGAAGCCACGTGTTTTCTTTCTTTGGCCCATAATGCGTAGCCCAGGCTGCCTCGGTTGTTGTCATCCTGGTGTTACCACTTAGCTTCCTTGTAGGACCCAAGGAAGTCACTGTTTGAGTTTCCTTTTTCTCGCCCTTGAATGAAAGGTTTGGACAGGTGCTATCTAATGTATCTGTTCAGGTAGGAAAACTTAGCTTTTTTCCCTCGGTCTTTGAGTAATTATAAAATGGAATGCATAGTAATATGTAATATAATCTTTTGTTTTAAATGTCCCTTGTTGAACTGGCTTTTTCTCAAAAATCATGCTTTGCTCTTGGAAGTGTCATAATACAGTGAAGAACAGACATGGGTCCAGTAGCAGAAAGCAGTTTGTGGGAGTGAAAGAGGTTCGTCTTAGGTTGACCAAAGAATCGTCTTCGTTTATTTATTTACCTTGCCTTGGACCCTAAGAATGAGAACATACTGGTAAACTACACGTGACAGTAAAAGCAGGCTCGGGGAAATGATAAGATGATCGGTCGAACACAGAGGAACGGAAAGAACATAGATTTGGCTCTTGGCTTTCAACGTTTAAAGGGAAGTTACATGGTGGTGGTTTCAAAAATGAGAAAAGCGACATCCCAGGAGAGGTAAAGAATTTTCTTAGCACCTAGTTCTGAAAGAATGCCGAGCATGGGGTCGTCTGCAGGGAGAAGGGGCTTTGAGTGATCGTGGCCCGGCTGCAGCGGTCGGAAGGATCTACAGAGGAGTTGGCATGTGTTTTTCACCTTTGAAAAGTGAAACTGGTAGTCACCCCTGAGTGGGAAGTAACGTGAATTAAATTAGTCACCCGGCTTGGGAGAGCTTTCCTTGATGAACAAGTGTGTGTCTGTCCTGTTTTGTGACCGTCGAGTCAGGGTTACTCAGCTTGTGGTCTAATGCATCTCACCCTCTTCTGTTCCTACGTGCACCAGCCAAAAAAGAAGAACATGTCGGCCTACCAGGTGTTCTGTAAGGAGTACCGCGTGAGCATCGTGGCTGACCACCCGGGCATAGGTGAGCGCACTCCCCCGTTGGCGTGTACTTCCCGCGTGCGAAAGGGACCCGGGTCTCACTCGTTCCCTCAGTTCTGCGAATCCCGTTAGATGCTGTCTTAGCTCACCCAGCTGGGAAAGGGATAAGCTTTCTATTTCTAGCTCTTAAATCAATAAAGTGGAAAACTGAGTAAAATTAAACGTTATGCAGCTCAGCACATAAACGTGCAGTTGCTCATTTCCAAGGTTCTGCGGGTGACCTTTTCCTTAACCTGCCTTTGGACGTGCGGGTGTAGATGACGTGTTGCTCACGGTTGTCTGTATGTTAGAAATTAGTGAGGTGAGAAGAACCCTACACCACGGACCTTGGACGAGGCGCTCTCCCTCTGTGAAGCTCGTCTGCCTGAGGGGTACACCAGCTTCTGAACGTGTCGCCACGGTGTCGGGGGCGCGATGCGCGGAAGGGATGAGGGTGCCCTGCCGAGCCTGCGGGGCAGCGTGCTCCTCTGGGCCCGCTCCTCGGCGGCTGGGGGAAATTCCTCTTTGGTAGTGAGCGCTCAGACATTCAGTAGAAATCTAACATCTTTTTCAAACCCTACGCCACATACTTTCTTTAACCTAAATTGATAGTCCCTGTGTGGTAGGATTAAGGAATAGACCCCTAGGGAGTGGAGGCGTGCGGATTCCAGCCTGTCTCACAACTCCGTCCCTACAGAAAGGAGTTGGGAAAACTGGTGGAGTTTGGTTTGGCTTTTCTGAAACAATCTTGGGCTATTTAAATCTGATTTTCAGAACCTTTTTCCAGTTCTGCCCTCATCAGTCTTCTGTTTTGTTGATCATTAAACCTTTATTTTATTGAGTATCTTACTCTTTTACGCCAGATTTTGGGGAACTCAGTAGAAGACTGGCTGAGGTGTGGAAGCAGTTGCCAGAAAAGGACAAGCTGGTAAGTGCGCTTTCCTCCAGCCCCACCACCTGTGCCTTCCACAGCGTGGTCCCCACACAGCCAGAGAGCGCCGACAGTGAGAACCCCACGCACCCGTGGGGACGGTGCTGGAGGCGTGAGCGCTGGTTGGCTTACGCTCGGTAAGAATGTAGCTGCAAGGAGGCTGTCTTTTCTCGCGTCTTTGAGTTTTTTGCAGCAGCAGCAGCCTTACATTTGAGCCAAAAGGTGGCCTAACTTGGGCAGTGATTAACGTGTTAAAGGAAAAAGTCCCTTTACCACAAACACCTACTAGTCAGCCATGGTCTGAGAAGTGAGGAAAGCCTTCCGCTTAATGGTTGCTGCAGATAACAAAATCCCACTTACTAGGTAGACAGGCCCCAGGCCATCATCCCCATCAGCCACTACCCAATAAAACCCCTACTGTGAAGCTGAGCCGGTGGTAACTAGTCAGGTCTAAGTCACAGTCACTTTCCAGTTGGATCATAGGAGGGTGGTCTAGGAATTGGAATTACTCTCCTGCTTTAAAGCACAGCTCATATGCGTGAAACAACTAAAGTATTTTTCACGCAGGTAGTTTATCTTTAGTTTCTGTTTTTCATGTCAACGTTATCCTGCTATTGATGTTGCCAACCAGAAGGTCAGAAGAAATATTTAAACCACGTGGGCATTATACCAAGCCAGGTGTTTCCTCCCTGATTTTCCATTTTGATCTTAGACCTAAACTCGATGCTGAGATCTGGCTGTCAGCACTGAGGAGTGTTTGTAGCCCTCTGCTGAGGTCGGGCACCACCACTGTCTGAAGGCTGCTCAGTGACCCTCAGCTTGGAAGTTAGCATAACGCCTCGGTCTGCCCCCAGCACGGTTCCCTTCCTTCTCTTCATTCTGCTCTTTCAGGACTGCTTTTCCTTTTCCTTCTTTTTCCTTTTTAACTGATTTTGTTTTGTCCTGATCTGATTGCAGATTTGGAAGCAAAAAGCTCAGTATCTGCAACACAAACAGAACAAAGCAGAAGCTACAACTGTGAAAAGAAAAGCATCCAGCTCAGAAGGCTCCGTGAAAGTAAAAGGTAGTGGCCACACCCCTCTCCTGCTTTGCTCTCCCCTAGAGCACTGTAAATGTTGCTGCCTAACTGGGATATTGGGCGAGCAGCCTGCATTAGAAGCAGACCTTGAGCCCAGCCATGTGTGGTTCAGCAGTTGAGCATTGACCTAGGATCCAGGCGATCGGGCTTTGATTCCCGGTCAGGGCACATGCCCTGGTTGCGGGCTCGATCCCCAGTAGGGCGTGCAGGAGGCAGCCAATCAGTGATTCTCTCTCTGGCCCTTTATTATTCTCTCTCTCTCCCTCTCCTTTCCCCTCTCTCAAATCAATAAAGATATATTAAATAAATTTAAAAAAAGAAGCAGGCTTGATACCCAGGGATTATTACTGAGCATTATAAGTTGAAAAAGGCATTTAGAAATGTAAATCAGAAGTCAGCAGACTTTTTCAGTAAAGGGCCAGAGAGTAAATATTTCAGGCCTTGCAGGCCCATGTGCTTTTTCTGTCACATATTCTTTGTTTTTTCTACAACCATTTAAAAATGTAGAGTTATTCTTTCCTCATAGGCCGTACAAAAACAGGTCACGGGCCAGATTTGGCCCACAGCCCATAGTTTTGCTAATGCCTGGCATAGCTCATAAATGGAAAATGAAGAGGGACATTTTTGTGGTGTTCAAGGCCGTAGAAAGCTTGGCCCCTCTAGTTCATCTCTGTTGTCAGCTTCCTCTACAGGAGTACTGTCACCCCAAAAGAAGTCTCCGCCCACCACCATGCTGTTACCAGCCTCACCGGCCAAAGCCCCTGAGACAGAGCCCATTGATGTTGCCGCTCATCTACAGCTGTTGGGAGAGTCCCTGAGCCTCATCGGGCACCGCCTGCAGGAAACAGAGGTGAGCCCAGGTGTCAGCAGCGTGACTCCAGTGTCTGGTGTAATCTGAAGCCATTCTCTCATTCCACATATATGCGTTGAGCAGCTGCTTTATGTTAGATTATGCCAGTGTTTAGGATGCAGTGATGAAGGCGACATATGGTAATAGAAGCATCTAGAGATTTGGAATAGAAGTTTACACTAATACCATCCTATTGAAACAGCAGCACAGAAAGAAAATAGAATACCTGTAACTTTTTTCCCAGCTTTATTAAGATATAATTAACATATAACCGCGTAACTTACTATTTTTAAATGCCATGGAAAAACTGAGTGTAAATCCCATGAAAGTTTTGATCACTTGTGCTTCTAAGATAGCTCGAGTTTTTCTGCACGTTTCCAGCAAGGGCTTCACCAGACAGGTCAGACTGACAGAGGATTAAGAGTGCCTCTACTCTTTTGAAAATAGGTAGCAAACTGGGAAATCAAGGCTGCCAGGCTGTTCGTTACTCTCCTGGGCGTGGGCTATGCAACAGTGCCCTCGAGGCCTGTCCTTGTCAGCGTCAGTCACGTGACCTACACAGCTGTCAGCTCCCTCTCTATTCCGTCTTCAGTTTCTAATCGTGTTGCCCCCTTGGCTAACTCAGTAGCATATATTTCAGTTTCCACTGGGTTCTAATGGGACCTTTCAGCCGAGAAATCAGTCTCAGCTACTAAAGCCATTTTAAGCTGAAAAATCAGTGGAGGAATATAAAACCATTCACTTGCTTCTGTGTGGAAGCTGAAATATTGTTCAACAAATAAAATGCCAATGTCCACAAGAGATGAAGTTGTTTCCAAGTTCTTCGACTAGTATCAAAAATGTGGCAGTTCTGACAGTTTAGAAGTTACAACAATCTTCTGGTCTAGATATGTCAAAACAACTAGCGTCCTTTCATGCAGGCTGATGCTTGAATGGACATAGATATTTCCAGATTAAGATATTCTGAAATCTTTGGTTAGTTTTCGTATTTAGACATTGTTATGTTTCCTAAAAAGTTGGAATTTAAAATAATTTGCTTGCCCTAGCTGGTTTGGCTCAGTGGTTGGAGCGTTGGCGCTTGGACTGAAGTGTCCTGGGTTCAGTTCCTGCCAAGGGCACATACCTCCGTTGCAGGCTCGGTCCCTGGCCCTGGCCAGGGCCCGTGCAGGAGACAACCAATCGATGTGTCTCTCTCACTTCGATGTCTCTCTCTCCACCCCCCCCCCACCCTCTCTGAATAGCTATGTAAAAAATATCCTTGGGTAAGGATTAAAAAAGAAAAAATTATTAGTTTTATGCGCTATCCATATTCCATATTTTTTCTCATATTTCCATTTTGTTTAACAAGTATTTATTGAGTGCAAGGCATTATTCCAGAACCTTAGAGGAGTGGAAAATCTGAATAGCTTGCTTGTTATTTCCTATCATGAGGAAACTTAGTTTAGTTGGAAAGAGAGAATAGAGACATAATTAGCAGATTATAAGAAGCCAGCTTTTGTGAGCAATTACTGAGTTATATATGCGTAGTGACCAAACAGGGAAATTTTGCAGAATCTCTAGTCTGCTTTTTCTTATGTAAGCCTTATTGAGATATAATTCACATACCATAAAGTTCACTTTTTTTTAATGTAGAATTTAGCCTGGCCAGTGTGGTTCAGTTGATTCCTGGTCGGGGCACATGCCTGGGTTACAGGCTTGATCCCCAGTAGGGGGAGTGCAGGAGGCAGCCAATTGATGTTCTATCCCTCTCCCTTCCTCTCTCTCTAAAATCAATAAAAATTAAAATGTAGAATTCAGTGCATTTTAGTATATTCACAGAAGTGTGGACCCATTTCTACTGTCTAACTCCAGAGCATCTTCATTATCCTCAAAAGAAACCCATACCATTAGCAGTCTTTCCCATTTTGCCCTCTACTCCACTTTTTCCAAGACTAACATTTGCGTAGATCCTCACAATATTGCCATTTTCATGCACCACTTATACTACTATTTACTCTATATTTTACTTAAGTAAATCTGTTCATGCTTTCACACTGATATCCTCAATGAGTGTGATACTCTTTTTTTCCCTAATATCCATCAAAATGGATGTCTGTCAAAATAACTAATGTTCACCTGTAACAGGTCAAAGGAGTCCCAGTAAGAACCCCACTCCCACTTTAACCAGTTCTTTTAGCTCTTTTATATGTTTGAGTCCACATAAGGTTTTATTTGAAAAGGGGTTTTACTGCTAAGATGATGGAAACTGGAATATCCAATGCATAAGGTGAGGAAGACTGAACAGTACGGCTACGGCCCAAATGACAGGGCAGTCTGAGGTGTCTGTCCCTTGCTGTTCAGGAGCTGCGGGGAGTTTCTGAGTAGGGAGGGGTGTGATCAGAGCTTTCATTTGGTTTTCTCTGAGAGTAGCTTCTGTTTAGATTGTGAGGGAAAAGAGACCAGAACTGGGGAGAAGCTGTAACAATAGTCTAGTTTAGATATGACAAAGGTTTGGATTAATCCAATGAGTGTTTTTTGAGAGCTTACTGTGTGGGCAGCACCTGTAGTTATTAGGAGGCTAAAAAAAGGAATAGGACATGGTTCCTGCCCTCAAGTTGCTTATAAGCCAGTAGGAGGGTCAGGCATAAAATATTAGCTATAATTACCTGTAAGGCAGAAGTAAATGGGATAATATTACTAATTTGCTAATATTTTTAAACAATTACTCAGCCAGCTTTGGTTCAGAGTGTTCTATAGGGATTCTTTCATCTAATTCACACTGCAGCTTTGTGAGGCAGAATTTTTGTTCCTCTGATTTTACAGAAGAAAAAGAAAACAGACCTGTGGAAGTGGGAGAGAGGAGACACTGGACAAGGAGGGTGAGGGGAAGGGAGAGTCAGTGGTGGTGAGGCCTTGACACTAGGCAGCTGTATGAATGGTGGTGACTTCAGTAGGGAGGGGTGCTAGGAGGGAGGGGTATGTTATTTCTCATTATAGCACGTTGAGATTGAGAAATATCCAAAATGAGAGACCTCAAAGGCAGCCAGAAATGCAGTTTTGGAGATAAAGGTGTTGGTAATAGTTACTGATACTTTTGAGCACATACCATGTACCAGGCACCATGCCAAGTACTTTCTATCTGTTGTCTCACCTAATCCCCTCTGCTACAGATGCTGTTAGTGGTCTATTTTACAGGCAGCCTAGGAAGCAACTTGCCCGGTACAGAAACAGCGAGTGGACTAGCCAGCTGCGGGCCCCAGCAGGCCTGACCCAGAGCTCAGTCTCTGAAGGATCCTGCTCTGCGGCCTCCAAGGGGATGTAGCCTCACAGCACTGCTAGCTGAAGCAGACTGTACAAGAGCCGGGCAGTGGCATTTGCAGCTGGCAGTCTCATTTCTCATCTCTTTGAGTCACAGAAATATAGACAGTATGAATTGTATAAGATTAAAATTTGAAAGGAAACATGTTCTTTTTGAGAGTGAACAGATCAACCCAGAGAAGTAATATTATCAGCCATCAAAAGCCACATACATGGAGAAGTATGTGCATGTTTATATGGATGTTAATGTGCAGGGCTATAGAATTCTCACAGCTGTTGCATCTGAGCTGTACTTGTGGCCTTCGTAAGAAAAATACTTTAGCATACCTGATCTCCACAAATCTTCCCAGCAGCTCTCCAGAGTGGGTGAGGCACTTTTTACTGTTCCTAAGTGTAGGCATTTTTTTTACTGTTCATGACTAACCCAAGGTCGCATAGATGGGCAAGGACTGTATCAGAGAAACCTGGGACTGTGTTGCAAAAGTTTTCTTCTTAAACAACTTACGGTTATCAAAGCAGATGCCTTCCTTTCCTGCTTAGTTCCCGAGAACTGCCAAGACTTAAAGAATGGGGTGACGTCAGCCGCAGTAGGGAGGGCCCTCCAGGAGTGTGATTCCAGTTAAACCGACGCCCCTTGCTGCTCTCCCTTTCAGGGCATGGTGGCTGTGTCCGGCAGCTTGTCAGTGCTCCTGGATTCCATCATCTGCGCGCTCGGCCCCTTGGCATGTCTGACCACACAGCTGCCGGAACTGAATGGCTGTCCCAAGCAGGTCTTGGTGAGTTTTCCTTGTAGCTTTGGAGCCAGAGCCATTGGGAGCCAGAGGCGCCCTGTCTTACAGAGCTGTCAGGCACAGGCTCCTAAGGCCGCCTGACATCTAGCGTGTAGGCTCCCTGCACGTGTGGGCCCAGGAACGTGATACTGTGTAACACGTTGAATGCATGCCATGCTTTCCGTGCAGCTGAAACATGCCGTCCCCTGAAACAGTCCTGTGGAGGGAAGCGTCGTGGCCCTTGGGGTGCCTCAATGCCTGTGCCTTCCTTTGTTCTTCTGCACACTCAGAAAGTGCAGGCGTCCTGCCTCTTTTTCCCTGGGATGAGTGGGAGAGGCCGGCAGAAAAACCCCAAGTGTAACAGACAATACGATGCCTCTTAGCTGTACCCATTTTATCAGACTCTGGTTTTTCTTTCTCCTCTCCCCCCGAAGGAAGAAATGTGTGTCAGGGAGCTAAGGTTTCATACTCTGCAGCTGAACCTTTTCCCCTTGTTTTGCAGTCAAACACACTAGACAACATTGCTTACATCATGCCTGGACTGTGACAGCAGAGATCCTGGGACGCAACCTTGTCCTACCCCATTGCTGGTTTGTGTATATATGACCGTTCCAGACTCCTTCACTGGCCACTGGGTGTAGGTTTTAAATTTTTATATACATATACATAAATATATATATATATATATATATAATGTACAATATATACATAGGACTGTAACTTCGCTTTTAATAATTTTATGAAATGGCAAAGGTTTAGCCAAGAGGAAACCTTGGCATGAATATGGGCTTGGGATTCTTTTTCTCCTGTGGTGGATAAATCTGCCTTAAAAATCAATGTAACTTGGGGGCTGGGGGCTTGTTCTGGGTGCCAAGTGCATCTCTTTATGGACAGCTAAAATGTGATTTTTTTCCCAAGCTCAGTTGTACCTCCAGACCCATCACTGACCATTTGCCTTACCTGTCTTACAGTCCGAAATGTAACAGGAAAGATTATAGGAAGATGCCAGTTGACTGAAAGCGCAAAAGCCTTTCAACGTAAAGTGTCTTAGGTGGGAGGTGATAAAATCATTCCCATCTGAGAGTTATTGCAATGGCTTAGGTGAACCTAATAGGGGGTTCATTCCAGTTCCTGCTATATACAGGTGTCCATGTCTCAAAATTTATTGTAATCATTGGCAGCCTCAGTAGGGGCCAAGGAGTTCTGTGAGCCCTGGCAGCATAAAACACCTTGAAGAGGGTAAAGCTGTCAATGCCACCGGTTGAACTGCATACATTGTGAGCTGACCCAGAATCTTTGGCCTGCAGAACGAAGAGCTGGTATCTTCCAATGGCAGCATTCGCTTAGCCACCAAGTCCTCACAGGTTCTGCTTAGTTGCTTGGTGGCTGTGGAAGATGAACTTTGCCCAGCGGGATTCTTGGGTTCATCTTATTGGCTCCCCTGGTGGGCAAATACTGTGTTCTGCATTCCACACATAAGTGAATTGCAAAAAAAGTAGTTAATTCTCTTATTTATGTGCGCGTGTGAACGTGTTTTAATTATGTGTATTTAACTCTTTAAAGTCTCTTAGATTTTAATTTATCCTGTAAATTTCTGTATATATAATTTAATAACAAAAGCCTCCACCAGCAAGAGCATGTGGAAGATACAGATGTTATTTCTTCCTCCCTTCCTTCCTCTGATCTCCTCTGAAAACTCCAAATCACCTGCATTTGAGGTATTGTGCCTCAAAAAGGAATCATTATGTCAGGATTCTAGTTCTTTATAATTCAATAATGTCAAGAAAGTTAAATAAAAAGGACTGTTTCCATTCCCAGCTGCCCTTATTTCCAAAGAACCATACTTTTGCTTCCTAGTTCCAAAGAAGACAGTTGAGCACTTCAGGGTTGTTCTTAAATGTGTGAGATTCCCTGCCAAACACCAGCTCTGAGGTAACTGCTTTCTGACCCGGGCTAGACGGAGCTCTGCGGCATCAAAGTAGAGGTCTGAGGATGGTGCAGGCGGCCTGCATCCTGTTTAACGCCTTCCCTTCTCCCCGCCAGTGTGGCCGCTGGCTGTGTTTCTTAAGGTATCCTGGCTGCTGAATGCCTTTCTCAGCTCAGAGCAGTTTTGAGATTTAATTGGGGAAACAGAAGGAAACAGGAATGTTTGGGAACCAAAATCAAGAACAGAAATCCTGTTTTGATTTCATGTGTTAGAACCGGTACCGTGCCTCATATGTACCCAGGGAAGTTTCCTGTTGACAGGGTATAAAGGAGGGGCCTTGAAGACGTGGCTTAGTACCGAAAGAAGGCAGTCCTACCATTGTCATTTGTATACGTTAATGAAATCCTGATGAGGACCTGCTTTTTGTTTGTTTTCCTTTAAAATCCAATCCTATTGTATTTGTATTTAAAATTTGTACACATTTGTATAATAACCTGTACCTTGTGGAATTTGGTACTATTAGAGGAAAAACTTTGGATTCAGACCTTCTTGCAGTTTTTATATCATTGTTTTATTTTGTTTTTAAAATAAATCCTATAGCGGTTTGATCCAAATTCCATTGCCGTTGTATAAAGAAATAAAATTTTGTACTTATATTATTAAAAATCACATTTTTAATATTTATAGTCCAGTCTCAGCTATCATTTCCCTGCTGCCAACAACAGTTGCTCTGAAACTATAAAACCTGTTTTTCACACTATATCCTACCATAATTTTATTTTTTTTAAAAATCCATCTGTAGTAGAGGTCAAACTTCTGATCTTAGCCAATTTCCTATCGTACATCTTGCTCTGTTTCTGTTAAATTCTACAGTGTAGTCTCTCAGGTTCTCTTGCAAATTACAAACCGAGTGATTCTGATAAGTGTAACTCTGTTCATTGACAAATAAAATTGTATGTACATTACTGTGTACCCCTAACTCAAGAAAATGTGAGCCTTGTGTAAGGTTCACATCTGAATCATGTGTAAATATATTTCACGCTGTTTCAGTACTGCCCTGACTTAGTGATACTGGATCAGTCACTTAATCTTTATAGACATCCAAAGTCCCATCTGTAAAATAGTGTTAATGTCACTTCTCTGTCTCTAAGCCAGCAGCCAACCAGGCTGACATGAATGTTTAGTAATATTGTCAACATTTAATATATGGAGATTTGACCTTTCAAGGTGTAAAAATGTCAGTGTCAACACAAGGTGTTAGTAGTCATAAAGAGTGAAATACTATGTTTGAAAGGCTTTTTATTGAGAGGCAGCAAGAAAGACACTGCCACATTGCTGAATGACTATTAAAGTAATTTGCATATTTTGTCTCACTTAATCATCCCAAAAGCCTTATATTACTATTCCCCTTTACAAATGAGGAGGCAGATGCAGAAAAGTACTTTTCCTAAGGTTATACAGTTAGTAAGTGGCAAAGCCAGAATAAGCATGCTGGTACAGCCAATCCCAAAGCCACTTTCAAAGTTAAATTGTGTATGTAATTCATCAGAATCCTTCTACACTATTATCTGCAGTATTGAGCAAATGTGATTGTAGGAAAACCTCTTGAGACCTTTTCATTGTTCAAGTGTCCTTTTGTCCTAGCTGGATTTTATGATACAGGCCTCACTTTTCTTGTCATACTATTGTCTTTAAACTTTGGAGGCAAAGTATCTTAATTTTTTTTTAATATATCTTTATTGATTTCAGAGAGAGGGAGAGGGGGAGAGAGAGATAGAAACATCAGTGATGGGAGAGTCGACATTGATTGGCTGCCTCCTGCACGCCCCCAACTGAGGATCTAGCCCGCAACCTGGGCATGTGCCCTGACGAGGAATCAAACCGCCATCTCCTGAATCCTAGGTCAACGCTCAACCGCTGAGCCACGCCCAGGCGGGCAAAGTATCTTGATTTTTGTCTAGCAGTACTTAAAGTATATAGTAGATTGCAATACGTTCATGCAATATGTCAATCTTAAGGGGCCTAAACATTTTCACCTTCAGAAAGGGATTTGATATTACTAGTGCTAAAACACTTAAAAAGAAAAAAACAGACTTTTTACTAATTGAGTTTGTTTTTGTTAGCAAACACATATAAAACATAGTTTTAATCAGTTTTGTACAGCACTTAATATTTGCCACATGTTCCTATCTATTGTGTTGACAAAATCCACACACTTCCATTTCTAATTGAAAAGCTATGTAGTCCAGCCAGTGTGGCTCAGTGGTTGAACACTGACCTATGAACCAGGAGATCACAGTTCGATTCCTGGTCAAGGCACACGCCCAGGGTTTGGCTCAATCCCCAGTAGGGGGCGCACAGGAGACAGATCAATGCCTCTCATCAATGATGTTTCTATCTCTCCCTCTCCCTTTCTCTGAAATCAATAAAAATATATATATTTTAAAAGGCTATGTAGTATCCTGTTTACATGGAGTTAATATAATTCCATTCCCTGTTTGGGGGATATGTGATTGTTTCTGCTTTACTATGAAGGATAAACCTTATGGCTGTTTTATTCTTGGCAGCAAAGCCAAGATCTTATGCCCATAATCACTTTAAACCAGAGTGATGCAGGAAGGCAAGAACTTCTGGTAAATCCCATACAAACGACTGGAAGAATCCAAAGGAAGTTCTTGCTAAATATACTCCATACAACCAAGCAATATTCTTTTTTTTTTCTTTTTTAATATATCTTTATTGATTTCAGAGAGAGGAAGGGAGAGGGAGAGACAGAAACATCAATGATGAGAGTCATTGATCGGCTGCCTCCTGCACGCCCCCTACTGGGAGTTGAGCCCGAAGCCCAGGCATGTGCCCTGACCCGGAATCGAACCCCCATCTCTTGGATCCTAGGTCGACGCTCAACCACTGAGCCATGCCAGCTGAGCCCAAGCAATATTCTTAAATGGAGAAAATTATGGATGGTACGTGACATGAAGTTCACCTAATGTACATCCTCCCCTTATATTCTAAAAACCATTATTGAAAGGTAGATTGATTTACATTTTCATGTTAGTTGTGTTGGTGAACAGTGGTGAGCAAAATAGACATAGTATCACAGCCCTCATGGAGCATCTAGACTAGTAGGGGAAGGGCATTTATTAAGTCTCAGTGCACTATTAAAACACTTCAAAGCACAGCAGTCATGACTTCTGTAAAGGTTTTATATTGTAAAGATGTCAGCCCTTAAAACAGGTTGACACACAGAAGTGATAAGTTCATATTAGGTTTTCCATCATCCTAAATTTGTGCAAAGTCAATTTACTAGCCTTTCAGATTTAAGAATCGCAACTTGATCAATAAATACTAAAGCCCCAAACTACCAAAGCACTGGTTATTGTATCTTTTGGAGTCTTTAGAAGAAGAAAAAATAACCCACGGATCAGGTATCTGATGTAGGTGACACATCTGAAACACGGCCCAGACAGGAAGGTTGAAAAAGGTAGAATTACAAAGCTGGGAAAGGCCTTTGAAAGCCTTAATTCTTAACTGGGGGTCAACAGCTGTAGTTCAGGGACCCAGAAACTCCCTGAAGTTATACTGTATCTCTTGCCTTTTCTCTTCAGAAAGGCTCGTGGCTTCAAATTCTCAAAGGAGCCTGTGGCCTAAAAAAAGAAAAGGTGAGAGCCTTTGAACGAAGTCCAGCATCCAGAGAAAATGGGAAGCTGTTTGAAACACACAGTAATTTACTCAATGGCAGAGATGGGTCCCCGGCACCATGCGCGACACCTGCGTGCCCTCTGCCGCCTGACGCCAGCACGTCCCGAGCTGGATTCCTTGAACTGGCCCTGTCAGGGGAGCGCAGACTCGGGCTCTTCTCTCCCCTCGGAGGTAAGCGCTGCAAGCAGGACTCGAACTTGCAGCTGGAAGCCCTCGACCTCAGGCAGAGGAGCCCATCAGGGCAGCGAGACAACAGGCCAAGAGGCCGTCTGCCCGCGGTGGGTATGCAGTCACAGGGAGGTGCCAAGGGCTGACATTTAAAAGCAGCTGTAGCCTGAGCCTGCTCGGTAACCTGACCCAAGTCGCTTCTCTGGTCCCAGACCCGGTTTTCCAGGTGAGTGACGAGAGCGTCGGGCCACGCCCCTAAACCCTTAAATAGACCTTGAGGGCGTGGCTTAGAGAGCCCCACGCCCCCCGGCCCCCTACCGCCCTACGTCGTGCGTGACGTCCGTCGACGGCAAGTCAGCCTCAGTGAGGTCACTGCCCTCGCGCGCCGAGTGCCGACCCTCTCGTCAGGGGTGGGGCCTGTGGTCAAGTTCCAGACTCCCTCCGCTCCGCCCCGCCGGCGCCTGCTCGCGGACCATCCGGCGCGTCACGTGACGGGTCGGCGGCGCCGGCGGTTGCTGTCAGCTGATATCACGGGTTGGTGGCAGCGGCAGCCGTGGCGATGGACTTTCTCCTGGGGAACCCGTTCAGCTCTCCGGTGGGACAGCGCATCGGTGAGTCCCCGGAGTCTCGCCCAGCCCTGTCGCAGGGCTCCGCGCCCGGCTTTAGCCCACTCGGGGCGCCCGACGTCCCCAGCCGCTCACCCGAGGGAGGCAGGGAGGGGAACGAGGCTAGCGCGTTTCTCCCGGGTCTGGCCCCGCCCAGTGTCCCGCCCATCTTGATTGACAAAAACCGCGGCCCATTAGGGGAGCTCGGCTTGTGATGGATCCCTACGGCAGCCAATAGGTAAAGAGAGGGGGCGGGCCGGCTCACGGCTCAGCCAATGGGCGGCAGCTGGGGTCGCGAATCCGGGGAGAAAGTTTGGAGGGTTAAAGGGACTACGTGGTTCCGCAGTCGTTGGGTCCCTGGACGTTTTCGTGGTCTCCTCCCCGTCCCGGCTCGCGCCGCCTGGGCTCTTGCCCTCTCTTTCCTGGCTCGCCGTGTTCTCCAGACACAGATACCCGAGAAGAGCTAGAAGTCCATTCTCCCAGGACCGGAGACTAGGGCTTGGCGCCCGGGCGGCGACTTGTGGGGAGGGGGGTGGGGGCGGCTGGCAGCCCCGCCACCTCCGCCTGGGCCCCGGCCGAACGAGGCACTGGGAACCCGCCGGACGAGGCGGCCAACCTTGGAGACCGAGGTCTCGGGACGCACCCGCCTTGGCGGCCCTCGCCCCCGGGCATCAGCCCGAAGCGTAGGGTCGCCGACGCCCCGAGCTGGAAGTGACCTTCGAAACCACCTGATCGCGCCTCCCTCCTTCCTCAGGAGATGGACAGCCGAGCACTCCGGCCGAGGCGCGGGCTTCCTCAGAGCCAGGCCTCCTGACTCTCTTAACTCCCTGTTGACCAGAGACCTCCCGGTTCTGTGACGTTGCCGCTCTGTGCCTAGGTTTCCTCGCCTGTAGTTAGAGGGTGAAAATGGCCCCTATCTCCGTGGGGTTGTCGTGAAGACTGAACTCGTTAATAAATGCAAAATACTTAAAACAGGGCCTGGCACACTGCCAATGCGATATAAAAGAGAGGTAATATTTATTACATGTTACTGAGGTGCCACCTGGTGAGGCTCGGGGCTCCCTAGGAATGTCTGGACAGTAGGTTGGGACAGTGGGTGGGCCCGCAGGCCGGGGCCCAAACAGCTAACCCTTATCCAGAAGCAGCCTTGGCTGTGCCTCTTTGATGAGGAAACCGCAGGCAGTTCCTTGAAATCCTCTCCTTGTCTTCTTTATGGTTTTTAGCCTGAAGTCCAGACGGACGGGGACAATTCCGCCTTTTAGACAAGACATTCTTTCCATTCTTAGTGTCTTGGAAGCCAAACCTAACTTCAGTTTGTCGACCGGCTCTGTGTTGTAATCGCCGCTGTGACTGTTAGTGGCTCTTGGGCAGTTTTGTAATCAAATCTCTCCAAGAGGGCTGTGGCAGTTGAGGATCTGCACACCAGGAAGCTCCTGGACCAGAGAGGGGGACCTGCTCTCAGAACCATCACCTCCACCACCACCCCCTTTCACGCACAGCACACACACCCCAGTGAGTCATTGTTTTGGAGCTGAAAGGAGAAGGCAGCTCTCCTTTCATCTTTATTTCACCAGCTCCAGATACCACTGCTTTCATCACATGCCAAGTTTGAGACTTACACACACAAAAAAAACAGCTGTCCAAGTCAGCCACATATTCCTGAGGCTTTCTAGAAAAGCGGAAAAGCTCACCTGACTCTGGGCCTTACATGGTCAAAGAAAACAGCTTCTCTTCCTACCCTGAAAGGTTGCCTGCCTTGGGCAAGAAATACTCTGTCCAAAGGAAGCTACTAAATCATAATACCTTAGAGCACAATCCAGGTTTTGCTGCCGGGTCCTTATCCTGAGACTTAACCCAGGGTTCTTGTCTAAAGCCCTTGGAGGTCTTATGAAAACACCTCAGGCGGGGCCCCACCCCCAGAATTTCCTACTCTACAGGTCTGGGGTGGAGCCCTAGAATTGTTATTTGTAGCAAGTTCCCAGGGGATGCTGATGCCACTGGATTGGAAACCACATATTGAAAACCTCTCTTCAGCCCATTGCCTTCATTTTACACGGGAGTCTGAGGCCCAGACAGGGAAAGCTGGAAAGTGTGACTCGCCTAGGACCCCAGTGACGATAGGAAAGCTGAAATGAATTCCCCAGAGCCATCAAGATTTGAACCAAAGCAGAAGAGGCTGTAAAAGTAAAATTAAATGAATATCTGCCATTTGAGTTAACGCCCTCTGTATTCCTTATTTTTTCTTTTAGATAAAGAGGCAGGAATACCACCAATGGCTGTGGTTATTGATGACCTAGTTTTAGCTGCTTGTATTTCTGTAAACTGCAGAAGTAACAATCACTTCTCAAGCCTGCTGACTCCATCCCTATTGAGAGTAGAGCCCCATAGAATCAGCGGCGTCCATTAGCACAGTGGGTTCTAATGGTGTTCATTAGGAGTGCCATTCACAGAGTGCCGGTGCTGCTCCCTCAGCCTGCTCCTGTGTGCACCCTTCAAAGCCCCAGCGTCATCACCCCATCCCTGAGGTCTTCTCTGACCCCTTCAGGTCCAGCTATTGCTTCTGTGCTCTCTAGTCACCCCAGCTCCTCAGGCTCCCTCACTGCCTGCCTTTGGGCTGTGAGCTTCCGCTGCCGCCTTGGTGGAATGGTTATGCCAGCATCTACCTCTCAGGGTGATTGTGAGAATGAAGTGAGATACTCCCTGGAGAGTGCCTGGCACATTGCCAGTGTGTATGAAACAGTAGTTCTTGCTGTCACCGTCATCATTTGTATTATTTCCACCATCATCACACTAATAGGGCACTGTCCCATTATGTCAGTAGTTGTGCGTGTGTCTCCCCAGCTAGACTCGACTTCTTGAGAGCAGGGCCTGCACTTATTTATCCGGACCCAGTGTGTTGCCTGGCCCCAAGTAGGCGGGAAGAAAGGAGAAAAGGAAGGTAACAGTTTGTGGGCAAATATCGCGTGCCAAGTGCCATGCTAGTCTCCTAGGTATGACTCTTCACAGCGACCCTATGAGATAATGGCTCTCTTTTCCCTTTTCACCAAGAGTAAGTCTGAGGGATGGTATCACTGCCCAAGATCTCACAGCTTCAGTGTCAGAGTCCAGACGCAGGTTTCTCCAGCGCAGAGCCCCACTCCTCTCTTGCACCCTCACCACGCTGCCTCTGGCCGACTGATGCTTAGTCCCACTCGCCAAGAACCACAATTACTGTTCTACCCACAGACTGACTTTTCTGGCTATGACGCACATGCGTCTGGTACATTTCCAGGCCACACACCCTTACCTGTGACTAGGAGATCATATCTTCCCAGGGACAGCAGACTGTGGCTGCAAGCATCCCAGAAAACTAGTACTGGGAAGTGTTGACACAGTTGTTTTCTTCCAAGGATTTACCTTTCAGGGTATTATCTGAGGACACATCTCACTGGCCATGTTTTATAGACAGATGTCAGAAGGCAACCCACCAATTCATTGTCCATTTCTGGCTGTCAGCTTACCCCTAGCTCTTTGAGCCAGAGACCCAACTGACTCATGAAAGAAAGCTGCAAACCAGCAGACTGTAAATATGGGCAGCCCTGGGGACCATCCCCCAGTAGTCATGGTGGGGGTAGCTGGATGTGACAGGAGAAGATGTCAGAGCCTAAGGCTGAGCCCTGGGGTGGAGGAGAGATGGGGAGAAGGCAGGGAGAGCTGCCCTTGGAGCCACAAAAGTCGAGCCACAGGAAGGGATCATGGACAAGAGACCACAGGTGTCCGCTGGGGAGAGAACACTTCGGGCCTTCTGGGGCGCCACTTTGGGAGTGATGAGCTGGAAACCAAACTGAACATCCAAGCAATGTTGCTGAGGGGCCACCAGGCTGGGAGGCAGGAACCCGGGGCCCAGCTCCAGCTCTGCTGCTGTCACACTCCCTCTGCATCACCATGCCCTTATCTGTAGCAGTACCAACCTCCGTGTACTTCCCAGAGGACCGGTGAGGAACAACTGGCGACAGGCTAGGACAGGGAAGGATTGATGCTAGAGGCCAGAGAGAAACTGATGGCGATTTTGGAGGGATGATAGAACTGATTCCACAAGGCTCAGAGGGTAGAGTGTGATGTGACAGCGGAAGGAATTCAGTGCCAGCACAGATAAGTGTCCCTGACACCTTTCAGAGCTGGAAATGGCTTCCTTGTTTGGTAGTGAGCTCCCCACCACTGGAGGTGTGAAAGCAGAGGTCAGAGGGGAGGGAGGCTGTAAAGAGGATTCCTGCATTGGCTGGCGGGATGGACTAGACCAGTATCTGCCTGCCAACTTTTCTGTAAAGGGCCAGATAGTAAATACTTCTGGTTTTGTGGGCCATATGGCCCCTGTTGCAACTAGTCAACTCTGCCATTTTATCACAGAGGCAGAAGCAGCCATGTATGTCAGTGAATGAGCGTGACTATGCTCCAGTCAAACCTTATTTATGGACACTGAAATTTTAATTTCATGTAATTTTCACGTCATGAAAAATTATTCTTTTTGGATTTTTTTGAACCACTTAAAGGTGTAAAAACCATTCTTAGCCTTGTGGGCCCTACAAAAAAACACTGGATTTGACACATGGGTTGATTGTTGTGACTTCTGGCCAGAGGCAGAATGATGGAGGGCAGTATCTTCAAAGTGGGGTCCCAGAGTGCCCACATCAGGGATGATCGAGGGCACTCTAGTCCTGCTCCCCCTGAGTCAGAATCTCTACCACTTCCCACAGGTGCCCCACCTTAAAGCTCTGGTTCCTTGATCTCTAAGTGCTAGAGCCAGGTTAAAGCCCAAGTCTCTCTTGAGGATCATGGGGAATGGTGTCGGGAAAGGGCTTTGTGTCTGCTGGCCACATACTACACAGAGTAAGGTGTCCCGGATGAGCTCTTGAGTTGGACCAGGTGACCTGAGTCCTGTTTCATCCTGCACTGGCTTTGCTCCCTGGGGCAAGTTACTTCCGAACCTCTCTGTGCTTCAGTTCCTGTCTGCGGACTAAGGGTGATAA